CCTGACTCCCTCCCGCGGCACCTAGACGAGGGTGACAACATCCGGCAATGCACGGCCGTCAGTAAGGTGCGTTGGGAGGGGCAACTCTGTCCTGGAACTACAAGTCCCATGAGGCATTGCAAGACTCTGGCCGCCACAGGCGTGACCCAGAGGCATGATGGGATTTGTAGTTTCAGCACAGCGGGAGGGCCGCCTCCTCCTTCCATTGCCGGTACTTACGATGGAGCTCGATGGAGAGTTTGTCCTTTGTGCTGACATTCCCGGACTGGACCATCCGCCGCACGGTGGACGCATATTCCTGGAGGGGAAAAGACAAAGAATCCAGATGAAGGTTTAGAATTTGAACGTCGCTCGAAAAAAAAAGGATTTCGGATTGGCCCCACTGGCGTCCCGTTGGGGAGATTTCCCTTCACTTCCTGTCTGATAGCTACCACAGGAAGTGAGGAAATCCCTCCAAAGAGAGGGTAATCCCTGGTCACCAGAACTAGTTTCCCCATTGGAGGATTTTCCCTCTCTTCCTGTTTTAAATAGGGTGTCAGTGTCCCATTGGGGAAATTTCTCTTCACTTCCTGTCTGAAAGACGCAACAGGAAATCCCTCCAAAGAGAGGGAAATTCCTGGTGGTCATCAGAACAAGTGTCCCCATTAGAAGATTTCCCCGTTCTGTTTTGAATGGGGTAAGGGAGAGTTATAACCCCTATCAGAGTCCCATTAGGGAGATTTCCCTTCACTTCCTGCCCAATAACCACAGCAGGAAGTGAGGAAATCCCTCCAAAGAGAAAAAAATAACTCTATTTTCACCAGAACTAGTGTCCCCATTGGAGGATTTTCCCTCTCTTCCTGTTTTGGATAGGGTCAATGTCCCATTTGGTGAAATTTCCCTACACTTCCTGTCTGATAGCCGAAACAGGAAGTGAGAGGAAATCCCTCTAAAGAGAGAGAAATCCTTGGTACCCAGAACTAGTATGCCCACAGGAAGATTTCCCCTATCTTCCTGATTTTGGATAGGGTAAGGGAAAGTTATAACCCCTATCAGTGTCCCATTGGGGAGATTTCCCTTCACTTCCTGTTCGACAGCCACAACAGGAAATGAGAGGAAGGAAATCTAGGAAAACAAGTGTCGCCATTGGAAGCTTTCCCATCTATTTTTGTTTTGGATAGGGTAAGGGAGTGTTAAAACCCCCATCAGCGTCCCATTGGGGAGATTTCACTTCCTGTCTTATAGCCACAACAGGAAGTGAGAGGAAATCCCTCCAAAAGGGAAGGAAATCCCTGGTGGTTATCAGAACAAGTGTCCCCATTTGAAGATTCCCCCTTTATTTCTGTCTTGGATGGGGTAAGGGAGCATTACAACCCCTATCAGTATCGCAATGGGGAGATTTCCCTTCACTTCCTGTCCAATAACCACAGCAGGAAGTGAGGAAATCACTCCAAACAGAAGGAAATCCCTGTTGTCATCAGAACCAGTGTCCCTATTGGAAGATTCCCCCTCTCTTTCTGTTTGGATAGAGTAAGGGAGAGTTATAGCCCCTATCAGTGTCCCCTTTGAGAAGAAGATTTCCCTTCACTTCCTGTCCGATAGCCACAACAGGAAGTCACAAAGAGAGGGAAATAGTTATAGAGATATTATAAGAAGCATCTGGACGGTTCCTCTCACCGGGGGAAGCCTCAGAACATACTGGCTCTCCAATTCGTGGGGGGCGTCGTCTTTATTCCGCGACGTCTTCTGCTCTGTAGGAGGAAAGAAGAGAGAACAGGAGGTCACCGACTACAAAACGACGCCGCCCTCCATGTGAGCGATACTCTGAGCATGGCGGAGCTGCTAATCCTGGACACCGGAAGCGATGAGGAGCTCGTCACTTCCTGCCATTCCCATTGCAATGACCACCAGCGATTTCCCCTCACTTTGGAGGGATTTCCTCTCACTTCCTGTTGTGGCTAGCGGACTACAGGAAGTGAAGGGGAAATCACCCCCGATGGGACACAGATGGCAAAAACAAAATTGTATAACCCTTCCATCCGCTTTACTTTAAATATATTCCTTCATTGGCCACTGACACACAAACAAGCGCAGCAGCTGGTGGGTGGAGCCTGATGGAGACGCTGAAGCACTAGTTCCCCATCAGGTCCGCTCTGCTGCCGATTGACAGCGGGCAAGTGTGTGAATTCCATAGCCAATAGCAGAATGGCTTTTGTCATTATATTCAGCCCACTGCCTGCTGTCAATCAGTAGTAGAGTGGACCTGATAGGGAACTAGTACCGCCACATCGCCATCAGGCTCCTCCCTGTTATCCACGTCACCGGTTGCTAAGTGGCTTTCGGCTGTGAAGATGCAGGTGTCATAGCAACGGGCAGCTGAATGTAAACAAAGGGGTCATGTTGTCAGCCGGCATTATCAGCCCCCTAGCTTTACATTCATAAGCAGAGCAGACCTGATGGGGGAACAAGTACCTCAGCATCACCATCAGGCTCCTCCCTGATATCCACGTCACTGGTTGCTAAGAGACTGTCAGCTGTGAAGCTGCAGGCGTCTTAGAAACGGGCAACTGAATGTAAACAAAAGGGTCCTGATGTCAGCCGGCATCATCAGACCCTATGTTTACATTCATAAGCAGTGCAGACCTGATGGGGAACTAGTACCTCAGCATCCCCATCAGGCTCCTCCCAGTTATCCACATCACTGGTTGCTAAGCCGTAGGTGTCTTAGCAACAGGCAGCGGAATGTAAACAAAGGGGTCATGTTGTCAGGCGGCATCATCACATCCCATGTTTACATTCAGAAGCAGAGTAGATTCCGCCTACTGCCAATTAGCAACACAGCAGACCTGATGGGGAACTAGTACCTCAGCATCCCCATTGGGCTCCTCCCAGTTATCCACATCACCGGTTGCTAAGAGACTGTTGGCTGTGAAGCCGTAGGTATCTTGGCAACGGGCAGATGAATGTAAACATAGGAGTCATGATGTCAGCCAGCATCATCACACCCCATGTTTACATTCATAAGCAGAGCAGACCTGATGGGGGAAGTAGTACCTCAGCATCCCTATAAGGCTCCTCCCAGTTATCCACGCCACTGGTTGCTAAGAGGCTTTCAGCTGTGAAGACTTAGATCTCATAGCAAAGGGCAGCGGAATGTAAACAAAGGGGGTCATGAAGTCAGTCGGCATCATCCCACCCTGACGTTTACATTGATTTGCCGGCTGGGGAATCTCCAAATAAAGCGTTTTTAGAATGCAGCGACATTACTTGTGGACGTCATGGGGATCCCCTCGATGGTCGGGCACCGATCTGGAAAATAATGAAAAACAACACGGTTACGGTGACAAAAACAATTTTTGGGCACTGAAACTACTCAGCTCAGCACATAGAAATGTCTCCAATAAGGTCAAAAGAATAGCATAACCCCAACTGACCTCAGTAGATGTGTGCACTGGGGAGCAATTCATCCTCAAATCACTCATTTTTAGCAGCTCACCCTGCTCCTCCTTCCAGCAGTGACTCATTGGCTTAGCTCCCCACCCACAGCTCAGCCCACTCCCATCCTCCGTT